ACTATTTTCTGAAAATGAAATTCAATATGTAATAGAAGATATGAAAAATAATAAAGCATCTGGCACAGACGGGCTGCCTGCAGAGTTAATCAAAACACTGTTTAAAATACATCCTAGATGTTTTACAGATATTCTAAATAAATGTAAAGATCACAACCATTTTCCCACAGTCTGGAAAACCGCTACCATAGTTCTAATTCGAAAATTGGGTAAAGATCCGCAAAAAACTAGAAAGTTATCAACAAATATCCTTACTTCCGGTGTGGGGCAAAGTCCTGGATAAGTTACCAACCAAACGACTATATCGTTTAGAAATTAATAAAATAAATACAGACCAACATGGCTTTCAAAAATACAGATCTACAACAATAGCTATTAAAGAATTAACAAACAGAAATAAACGTGCTAAAAAGAACCGAAAATATTCTTAAGGGATCCCACTTGACATAAAGGGAGCATTTGACGCTGTCCACTGGTCAAATATCGTAAAGGTATTAATAAATGCCGAATGCTCAAGAACTGTTATTCTCCTAATAAGTTGCTTAGGCCCAATCCTGTGGTTCTTAATTTCAAGTACGATTTTAAATAGCCAAAGACATCCGCACGAATCAATAACAGCATTTGCAGATGACTTTTTTTTATTTTGATCACTGATACAATATTAAACCCTCTCGGACAATTGGCTTCTTCCATGTTTACAAAATATCTCGTTTCGGCAAAAGAACAAATTCTCACATTCAGTATGCAAGAAGCAGCCGTAAATATATTTCCCACGAAAACAAATACACAAGAAAACCAACAATTAAAATGGAACGGCTAAAATATAGGAATTCAACATAGGATTGACTACTTGGGATTCAAACACAAGCTTAACACTCAGTTATCTTGGCTATCTCATTTCAACAATGTCTATTCTAAAATTATTAAATTCCAAACCAAATTAAACAGAATTTCTGATCAGACTGTGGAATCAAGAAATTTATCTATAGAAACAGTACACTTAATTTCATACCGAGTGGAAATAGGGTATAGTGAACTGGTCAGAACGTTAAACGTAATCAAGAAAATTGAGAGGATATTTCTATTAGCTATAACTAAGGCATATAGAACAACGTCACTCGCAGGAACCATACTCCTAAATCTTATATATTAAAAACATAAGCAAACTTCATAAATCCCTTTCTACATAGCGAACCAAAAATTTTCCAGAAAATATCATCTGAAGTACTTTTACACTACCCTACCGAAATAATTTCCATTCAATTCAATTACCACAAAACACAGGACTGTAAACTTACACTGATGGTTCAAGTCTTAAGTATCTGAACAAATTTAGAATAGGATGTACCTTCTTGATCTACTACAATGGAATTTTCATTGACAGCAGACAATTTAGATTGTCAGACAATGTTCAGTTTTTAAAGCCGAGCTCTGGGCGATTCTCCCCCCGACGATGATCGGGAGAGAGTGAGCTACACACAATGTAGACCTTTAGGGGTCAATGGCACTGCTTTCAATTGCCCTAGAATAAGATGACTAGCTGTGCTCATCTTATTCCAGAGGTGCTATGACCTCGAATTTATCTGGAAACTTCCGATTTTATATATAAACAGTAAAATACTCGTATGTAAAAATCTGAAAAACGCCTGATCAAAATAATTTGTATTTGATGTACTAATTCATTTTACGTGTGTTTAATGAATGTAGAATATCTTGAAATACACCAAAACAGCTTATTAATGAAAATAAATTTGATGAAGATGGTTTTTCCACCTGGTGTAAGTTATTAATTAAAAAAAGGAAATCTCTGTTTCACATATAAATTAATCTTCGAATTATCAAATTTATCGAGTAAGTTCCGTTAATGTGTCCTCAAATCATGGTTTAAAAATCTGATCACCTTATTTTAACTTCAAACCTTTATAAACAAAATGTATCATGAGCTGCTCATGCATGCGCGAATCACTATTACGTGAGATCACATATGCGAAACTCATGCAATAATAACACTTCATTTGACAAGCAAAGTGCGTAAGAACGTTTAATAAAGGACCATTAAATGAACATTCACCTTACATCTAATTGTTCTAGATGCGCGAATGAACATTTAGGTAGGTACTTATATACGTCGCACTAGAGCTGCACAATGAGCTATTGGCGACTGTCTGGGAAACATCTCTGAGAAATCTGAGGATCGTCCGAAGACATACCATCGCAATTTTGATCCTGTGCAAAGGGGATGAATGAATATTTAGAAACTGCAAGTAAGAGAAACTGATCACGCATGTGCGAATCACACTTACGAGCGATCGCATATGTGAAAACCATGCAGTGAGAATACTTCCTGTTCTCAGGGACCATTTACACTGCATGCGATTTACACATCTCTAATCTTATTGAGACAGTAAAAAGGAACCTAGGAGCATTTGCATCTGATGCGTTTGCCGTACCTCAGATTACCGTTGAGAGAAAAAAAGAACCTAATTGAGGAGTTTCCACTGGAAACTATATTTCACCAATCAAGTTCTTAGAATTCCCGATAGCGGTAGTAGATGGGGCAACGCATTCGGGTTTTTTTTTTACAGGATATTGCATTTCATTCGACAATTGTCCCTCGACAGCGATCGTATGTGCCTGAATCGTATGCGAGTACGAGCATAGCCACCGAGAGTGAAGGCCTCTCAGTAGATTTGTGACGTCATCCTCTGACGGGTTAGCGAAGCATAAGATAACGCGGTATTCAGGTTTGTATTAAGAGAAAAGTATAATAAATAATTCAAACTTTTGAGCCACGTAATATATTTTTGCCTCAGCTAATTTAATAGCACTTAAATTTTTTTTCAAGTGGTGAATTTTTAGCTTTTTCAGTTATTTTTAAAGTTATAACTCAATAAAATGAACCTGTAGGACTTCTTGATGCTTTTCAATAGAAATGAATGAATAGAAATGAAGAAAGCAAATTTAATAAGAAATTTTTCACTTTTAATTTTTAAATCTTGATTCCTTATAACTATTTTTAATATCAAAAGAATAAACCTTATTTAAGTGTATAATTTATTATTTTCTAATATGTAATTAAACATTAGATTTAATCATATATTTGAAAATAAGAAATAATACATTTTAATAATGAAACGGTTACGAGACAAATAAAAATATGTTATATCATGGCAAAACAAATAAGAGACAAATAAAGAAATAATAGTTTTATTGGCACATTTATGAAGTTTTTATTTTACATATACTCTTCCAGACTTATAAAATAAGCATTAAATTTGGGATAAAATGAGAATAGTATATAAATATATATATATATAACTTAGATCTCTGGAGCAAACTCAAAATTCATTTATCCTTAAGATTGCAAAAATCTAAATTCAAATTTTATTTATTTTTTCTTAAAGAAAAGGACATATACTCTTCCAGACTTATAAAATAAACATAAAAATGGGAATAAAATGAGAATAGTACATATAAGCTGAAGCAAACTCAAAATTTATTTATCCTTAAAATTGCAAAAATCTAAATTTAAATTTTATTTATTTTTTTAAAAAAAAATAGTGTTTCTTTTTTAGTTTTAGTATAGATCATTATATGGTAGTTCAAAAAATAATAAAGAAAATAATAACATAACAATTTAATAATATTTTTTTGTTGCCAGATTTGTACAAAAATATATTACAAGGAGGAAATATTGATTGGATAATTATAGGGAAAAAAACATATTCTAAGAAAATAGAGAAGATTTTTTAATATGAACAAACTACTTTGAATATTAATTAAAAAGTTGTCTATTATATTCTAATATATATACACTAGCAAGTAACGGCAGAATTTTAGATTGGTTAGCTTCGTGGGGAAAATTACAATGTTCGGGCTATATATATCTATACATATTTTAAATATATATATATACATGCCTTTCACAAAATGAGGGAGAAAATGATACAGAACGAAACAGTTTCAGGTGCGAGTTTTAAAACGAATTCAACATAGTAAATAAAATATATTAGTTTACAGAACTGTCCTTAATTGGTATGAAATGTTAATTGTTAAAATAGTAAAAAAAAAATTTTTAAGGTATCAGCACAAAGACAACAAAAGATAACACAAATACGATTCATCTGTATTCGAAAGATTCATACCATATGAATCAAGAACAACAGTTTCATTAATATTCATTAAAATAATAACATACAAAACTTAAAATGGCTACTAATAATGAATCAAATTCTTTTTTTATTAATATAATCTAATGTACTACCGGAGTTTTTTTTTCAAGTATGAATATTTATGAAGTTTTACTCATATGATCGTAAGCTATCGTTAAGAATAAATAAGCTTCAAATGCCAATCAACATTGTTATTAATTTTTCTTTCTTTTAAAAGTATAAAACTAAAGATTCTTTACTAGTTTTTTTAAATAATATAAATGTTAACTCTTAATGACATCTTATATTTGTTTATATATACATTTAGACACGACAAATGATGTTTAAATTTGTTTTATTCCACGTCTAAGAGTTTTGCAAAAGCACGAATGTTTTGCTAGTTTCATATTCTAATGTTTGCCAACAATAAGCAATACCTAAAGCAATGTAATTCTTAAATACAATTTATTTCAATATTTAATTAAAAAGCTTATTATTAAGTCTGCAAAAACGAATATTAAAACATGAAAGATAAATAACACTTACTCGACTATTAACGGTTATTTGATAACTGTCTCGTTTGGTAGAATTAATCCATTTTTTTTTTTTTAAATTTCCTCATTTTTAGGAAACCTAAATACTGATACTTTAGGCACATTTTTGTAGTTCCCTTTACATCTTGGAACTACACACGATTATTTTAAATCGTTTAAAAGGACACATCCGACGGACAAACAACACTGCTATTCAATGAAGGACAAATATTTGAAATTGGCGGCTAATCACATATCCCCACAGAATGTGACGTCACTGAAAGACCTTGATGATCTCGCAGGCCTTATTTCTCGGTGGCTATGGTACGAGTTCGATTTTCTGAAAAATTGCTAAAGTCATCAACTAACGAAGTGCAGAAATAGGTAGCAAAGCGAAAATAGGCAGCCGAATACGCTTCTTTTCTATCATTTGATTTGTTTTTAAATTTAAAAGAGCGCCAAAGGTACCTAAAGTTTCTACTGTGTACTTGTTAAATATTAATTTGGAACCATAGTTTTTAATAATGTGAACAAATTATTTTTCTTGCCTTTAAAAAATATGCCAATTGTCATTTCTCTTATTTTTAAATAAAATTAAAGCCTGTTTGTTGACTATTATACATTTTTGTAGACTGTTATTATTTTTGTAAATTGTTATTATTTGTCTGTTAGATTTCTTTTCATATGCAATGATTTTGCTGTTTGAGTTCATAATATCCGTTTTTCAAAATAGTTTTTTTTATATTAATGTTAAATTCTTTTCAGTTAATGCATACTTTCTAACTTGACCGTTATGTTTTCACCTTTTACCTCCACCTATTTGTATTATACGTACAAATCATACTCAATCTATTCGGCTTCTCTCAATTTTCTACAAGAAATATCTAGTACCTCTTTTCTTGGTTTATCTATTGTATCCTCATTTTAATTTAACTGGGCAATTGTAAATTTCTGAAGTTCTGGTTTTTATTGAAATTGCAATTGTTTTTAAATGATGCTTCTTAAACAATAGCAAAACTGCACATTTGGTTATAATTTCACTACATGAACTGGTACTTGCTACTATGTTTATTTTCTCCATTTTTAAATGTTATAGTCTTTAATGTACAAAAAGTAATTTATGAAACTGTAACATTTGGGTTTTTCTTATAAATTTTGATTTTTCTGTTATCTTGACTAATTATTACTTAAATTTCTCTTGCAAGCCTTGCAGTTGTCCTATTTTAAAGAAGAAAAAAAACAAGTCTTTTGTCCAATATTTTTTTCTTAATATTTAGTTTCAATTTTGTCATTTTTGGGAATTCTTTGAATGTTTCTTTTCAGCCAAAGAATGCTTAAATAATTGACAGACCATATTTTACTTTCAACCATTGTATTTATTGTTGTTTAAAATAATATTATATTAAGAGAAATATTTGTGACTTAAAAGTAATGTTTTCAAACTTGGAATTTTTGTACCAATAACTTTGTGTTCTAAAGTTAATAGTTTGAATTGGTTGAAATTTTGAATTAGCTACTTTGTTTCTAGGTTAAAATGAGCCTGTTTTTACTTACAAGTTTTACTTACCTTTTCAAAATAAGATGTGACCCAAAATGAATTCAAGTGTGATTTTTTTTTTTGTGTGTGTGGTTTTTGTTCAAATTTTAAGATATTTTATTTACTTCTTCTTTTCAGTGGAAGCATGTTTTTTAAGTGATATATGCTGAAAAAAAACTTTATTTTCTTTCATACTTGGATAATGTTCAAAATATAATAAAATGAAATTATTTTTACACGTTCATAAGTTATATAATGGCATAAAATTGTCTACTCATATTTGTTTAACTTTGATAACTTGATTTGCAATCAGTCACTTGAAAGGTTGTCCTATTAATTTATTATTTTTTTAAAATCTAAAACTTAACTGCAAGTAAACAAATGTATATGTCTTAATAATCTTACTTAATTTTCTATTTTATAAAAATTGTATTTTATTATATAATTTACACTAAATCTGTTTATAGAAAACATAATAATGGGAGAACTGTCTATTTCTTATTTCCGAGACTTACTTTCAAAAAATGTGGATTGCCTACAAAATTTTTGTAAGGAGTGGGAAGAAATATATATAGATTCATCAGTACCAGATGAAGGTTTGATTTTAAGATCATTTTAAAATATTGTTTATTTTCTATCTCAAAAAGTATTTTTTGAAATAAAATTGCAGAACAGTATTTTTCAGGCATAATCAGCTTTTTATTTGCAGGGATGAGATTTTTCCGCTTTTTTCACTTTTATCTCTTAAATTTCAGCTTTTTTCATCAAAAATTCAGATTTTCTAAAAATTTCATTTTTTTTTAAATAAGTATTCCGCTTTTTCAGGAAGTTCACCGATTTTCAAAGAGAAGCAGAAAATTCAAACTACATAGCTACCAATCCTTTCTCATTTTTACCTATTTTCTCCCCTTTTACAAGCAGCAGATAAGATTTTCCAAATTTTTACCCGCCCTCCAGATAGATCCGATTTTTATAGTTCAAACGACGCTGCTTCTGACAAGCCTTTTAGAGGTCCCAAGCCTGGAATCTGCTAATATCCCGATTCTTATTCACACGATTTTAATATCAAACATAGCTTTTCATATTTGCGTGTTGCGATTCACATTCACGCGATTTTAATATCAAACATAGCTTTTCATATTTGCGTGTTGCGATTCTTATTCAGGCGATTTGAATATTGTACGTTGCGATTCTTATTTACGAGATTTAAAAATCCGATATTGTGATTCGTATTTACGTCTTTTTAACAACCTATGTAGCGATTCATATTCACTTAAGTTTAAAATTCAATGTGTTGATTTGCTCATGCGGTTTATAATATCAAACATTGATTTTCGTATTTATACGCAATTTTAAAATAAGGCATTGGGATTCGCATTCTAAATGTTATGCATCATAATTCTTATTTATGCAATCTAAAAATTACGCATCATGATTCGTATTTACGCTATCTAAAAATTATGAATCGTGATTTGTATTTACGCGGTTTGTATTTTCTCATTTTCAAAATCGTATATCTAGTTTCATATTCATGTGATTTCAAAATCCATAATTGTTATTCATATTCACGCAATTTTAAGATCAACTATCGCGATTCTTTTAAGAAGTAAATTTTTTTTAATTAGTTACTATAAAGGTTACTGTTTTTCTAACAACGATTATTAGTATATGTAAGTGTTACAACATCAGAGAAACTGGAAGGGAATATATTCAAAACTTACATTCTGTGCTTGCAAAGAAGAAAAAATAGGATTTGTCACAAGATGTTTGAAGATGGACTAACAACTAAATATACCAAACATAAACGATATAGCAAACAAAAGCAATCACTTAAATAGGGATTTAATGAAGAAAAAAAATTTTGGGAGAAAAAGAGTTAATTAACTCATCATCAAAATTTTATTTATAATTGCTGTTATTTATGGTATAAAATGCAAAATTCTTATCAAATAAAAAACAATTATCTAAACAGTTGCTGATTGTCATGTAATTTTTCAAACTAAAGTAGCAATTTTTGCATGTTAAGGAGTTACTATATATTTCTACTTCACTGTTATTGATATGTTTCAGAGGGCTGTAGTTAGATTAGACTATATGAACATAATGATTCAGTCCATTGTTAAAAGTTTTTTTTTTCCAATATAATTTAAAAAGTATTACTGATATATTTGCTATAAATCACATAACAGTATTTATTAAAAGGAATGAAATATTAATTTATATTCTCATTAGTTTTAATTTGCTTAACCTGGTAGTTTTTCAAGTAGTAATTGTCTCTTATGTGAACTGAGGAAAAATATAATTTCCAGCTTTATTTTTTCAATTGGTAATTTTTTTTCTCACTAAGTGTTAAGAATCAATGTAATCGTTTTTATAATAATAGATTAGTACACAATTGTATGTCAACACATTATTTATTACCTTAAACTGTCTGGAATTTATTATTAAAGGGTTGTGCTTGCGTAAAATTTACTATCGTGGAAATTCAGCTTTTTTGCGTTTTAGCTAATCTCATCCCTGCATTTGGTCTGATTGTTCTTTTTAATATTTTATTTACAAAAGGATTACTTGGTATTAACTTTGAATATGTCATATTAAATAAGAATTTTTTTATAAGTTGTTTAATCATTTATTTATTTTCTAATTTTATGTCTCTGCATTTATGTACCCATTTTAATTAAAATTGAACTTGGTTTCATAGTTGTCTAATCTTTGGTTTTAAGTTTTTTCTTTAATAGAATAAAAATCTTTTTAGACTTTTAGTTATAATTATCAAATATTGAAATTTATAGAGAGAAATAAAACTTGAAAAACTCCATTACAATTTTTTTTTTAATGTTTAATGCAATGAATTTTTATTGTATAAAAAAATGTTTACTCTGAAATTATAAAATTTGAATGATTTCACAAACTTGAAAATTGTAATTCTCCTTTTAAAAAAAGAAAATTTACATATACTATATGATCTACGAACAAAAGCTTGCTATTGGCAAAAAAGTTAATTGTAAATAAATAAAATGTGCTTGGCCGTATAGAATATTATTTTGCTTGTAACTGATAAAACTTGGAAATTTTTCCAGTTCATTATGTGAAAATTATGGCTTTAATTTTTTTTTTTTTAAATTTAATTTTAAGCTTTTTTTAAAATTAGAAAAAATTAAATAGTTGAAATAAGTATGTGTCGATTACTATTTTAAATACTTAATTATATAATTTTTAAATAGAAAGAAATGAAGGATTAGAAATATTTTCAGTTTTAGGATAAATTTTCATTTTATTTTAATAAAATTTAATTCTTGCTTGTTTTCGTACTTCAAAGTATTTTTATATATTACTAATATTATTTAACATTTTTTGACTAATACATAAGTTGATGCTCAATAAAATATCAAGAACAATAATAAAAAGTGTTGTAACAGGTGGGCTGAAAAGTTCGTAGGGTATAGAAAAAAAAATTTTATGATAAAATTTCATTTTATTATTCAATAGTTTCCTTCAAGGGCGATACAACGCTTATAGCGGTCATATAATTTTTCGATACCATTTTTCTAGTACGATTTGTCTTTAGCCTCAAAATAGGGCTTAGTTTTCGTGACTACTTCTTTATGGGCGCTAAATTTCGTTCCAGCGAGCATTCTCTTGAGGTCTGAGAACAGGAAAAAGTCGCTGGGGACCAAATCTGGAAAATACCGTGGATGCAGAAGCAATTCAAAGACCAATTTATAGAGTTTTGCCATCGTTTTCATTGACTTGTGACATGGTGCATTGTCTTGATGAAACAGCACTTTCAGACTACAAATGGGGCCGTTTTTCTGTGATTTCCTAGTTCAAACGCTCCCTTAACACTATGTAATAGTCGATGTTGATGGTTGTTCCTTTTTCAAGATAGTCAATGAATATTAAACCATGAGCATTCCAAAATACTGATGCCGAAACTTTGACTGCTGACTTTTGCATCTTTCCAAGCTTTGGAGTTGGTTCCTCTCGTGCAGTTAACTCGCTGACTGTCGATTGAACTCCAGTGTGAAATTATGGAGCCATGTTTCACCCATTGTCATATTACATCATATGTCATTGTCATCATATGTCATATTACATCATTGTCATATTATGTCATATTACATTAACACATAAATTCAGATTTATTACGATTAAACAGCTTCAAACACAGCTCAGAATCATCAATTCGTTGTTGTTTTTGGTCAATTGTGAGCTCGCGCGGCACCGACTTTGCCTAGAGCTTTCTCATACCCAAATATTCATTCACGATATGTCTAACACTTTCCTTTGATATCTTTAGAGTCTCAGATATTTTGATCAACTTCACTTTACGGTAATCTAAAATTATTTTGTTGACTTTTTGATATTTTCTTTGCTAACAGCCTCTTTGGGGCATCCACGTTGCGCATCTTCGTCGGTGTTCATTTCGCCTCGTTTAAACTTAGCAAATCACTTCTCAATGGTTGATTTTTCTGGTACAGAGTTTGAATAATGTTTCTCAAGCCAAGCCTTTGCTTCAAGAGTATTTTTTTTTTTTGATAAAAAGCAATGCTTTATAAACACGCGAAATTCCTTTTTATCCATTGTTTTTAAACCAACAAAAGTTGCTTCACTAAAAATACTATATCTCACAAACTGTTAGTCCGACAGCTGTCAAATTTATACACGTGTCTTTCGAAGGTTAGAACTAACTAAAAATCATATGTTTTTAATAATAGTAGCCCCATCTATGTGTCAGCCTACGAACTTTTCAGCCCAACTGTTATATCAAATATTAGTAATTTAAAAGGTGTATTTTTGCAATTATACACAATTTGAATTTTTTATCTATACAATTTTTAAAAAATGATATATTAGATTAGTGAAATTTTTTTCTTCCTTTTACATGTTAAAAATATGTTTAACCAACGGTACCAAATAAATTATATTGATTTAAAAATTGTATCCTTATCTGTCTAAAAATGTTAGGGAGGTAACATAGCTTTTGACCATTAGAAAAATGTAAAGTATTTGCTATGTGCTTGGTCGTACTGGAAAAAACTTTTTCACAAACATGGTATATACATATTATGATATTGATCTTTATAGTAATATAAATATCAAATTCTTAAATTATTTAATGTTTAACGTGTAAAAAATTGTGCTTATGCTGAATATATATTAACAGCTAAGGATGAAACATGCACAATTATTGGACTGACTCACCTACTAATGCTTTTAAAAAATGATATATTCGTTGGGTGAAATTTTTTTTCCTTCTGATTTTTTTTTCTATAAAAATATATTTAACCAAAGGTACCATGTAAATTATATTGATTTTATAATCTTTATCTATTCATAAACGTTAGGTGAGGTAACATAACTTTGGACTAGGGATGCACAGCCTTTTTGAGCTTAGGGCCACTTGCACATCAGGTAGATTAACAAAAGGCTGCACACATATTTAGTCATGATGGTGGCAAATATGATAATTTTTTTATAAACATTAGTGTTCTAAGCGCAAAATTTTTTAATCAATAAACTTAATAACATATTTGTTGCAGAAAATTAAATACTTTTAATTAGTAGAATTTATTTAAAAATAAAAAACTGATACTTCTTTTTAAAAAAAACTTTAAGCGTAGTCATAACTGCCTTTAAAAAAAACATTTAGATTTATGTTGAAATCGGTACAAATATGCTGGAAAGTGGTAAGTTAGATGCACGATTTAAAACTCACTAATCATAATATGATAATAAATGTGTCGGAATATTGAAAACTACATGAAATTAGGTAATTATAAATGCCAAAAGCGATCGAAACATCACTTGGATTTATGACAAAATCGGCAAAAATTTAACAATTGCATATTCAATATCGTTTTACCAATAAATATTGAGTCTTAAAACCATGTGGAATTTCGTACCAATAACCAATGAAAAAGCTATCGAGAAAAATTTTAGATTTACAATAGAATTAGTATGAGTTTTAGCTCATTAAAAAGTGATGACTTAAAAGTGCGATTAAACGTTTTATTTTCTTTTCATTTTTCTATTTTAAAAAAATTTATTTGCGTTCAGAAGCTCCATTGAGTCGCAGGTTGCTTCCCTAATTAGAAAAATATAAAGTATTACTATTTGTATGATCTTACTGGAAAAAACTTTTTTGCAAACATTGTATACATACTATAATATTGATCTTTATTATAATTATTAAATTCGTAAATAATTGAATACTTAATGCAAAAACAAAATTGTGTTTATACTGAATATATATTTACAGCTAAGGATGAAATACGCACAACTATTGGACTTACTAATCTACTAATACGTCAGAAACTAAAGCAATTCCAAGGTTTGATTGATGATTCAGAATTTAAACGAGGAGAAAAAGAAATAACTTGTTTAGATCTTCAAGGATTTTGGGATATGGTCTACAATGAGGTGAATATTGTTCTTTTCTTGATAACAACTTTAAATAAATTTATTTTTCACTTTTTATCCACTTTAATTAAAATATATTACATTTGTTTTTATTAATTCTGTATGTGTGTCAATGTTTTTCAACAGATTCATAGATGTTTATTCATATATGTTTTTTTCTTGATTCTTAAATACAGTGAAACTTCTCCTAAAGGCCACCTCTACTTAAGGGCCAGTATTTTGAGGAACGAAAATTTTCCCCATAGGCATAATGTTAATTTTCCTCCCATTAGAAGGCCACATTTTCCTGACTAACTCCAATAAAGGCCATTTTTTTTTAAAAAAAATTCTCAAAAAAGCCATTTTTTTACATTTTTCTTCTCATAAAGGCCATAAATCTAAACAGGTGTGTCCAATTCTTTAACTAAAAAATAAGAGTTCAGGAATTCCAAACACCTGCACTTTCAAGAAAGAAGGGGGGGGGATTTAACACAATGAAGACTCAGAAGCTTTTCCATAAGTGAGAAAACAAGTGTTCATCACACTCTGTTTGACCTTTCAACTTCCCTTTTATGCTGAAAAATTTTGAGCATTGGGGGAGGAACTTGACCTTTTGTTGTGGGTGCACAAAGGATAACAGGTTTAAGCCTTTGTACTCTTTTGATAGTAAGAAACTAGAGTCCTCATTTACTATAAGAGTGAAGGCATATTGAAGCACAGTTTTTTACACTAGAAATTTTATGCTCAGACACAAGTAAAATTAAAAATCATGGCACCTAAACCAAGCAAAAGATTACATTTGGATTTGAGTGACAAAATCAAAGTCATGATCAAGGAACATCTGCAAGAAAATTGGCTTCACAGTTTAATTGCAGCAAGAATCAAATAAACAATGTTGTTAAAAACAAAGAGAGCTTACTGAAAGAATATGAAGATTTTAAAAATCGTGGGATAAAGAGAAATGAAAAGTTCTGTGAAATAAATGAAGCTGTAATTCAGTGGTTCAGATGTGCTAGGACTAAAAATGTCCCATTAAGTGGTACTTTAGTGACAGAAAAAGCCATTCAGATTGCAGAATCACTTGGTGTAGAAGACTTTTGTGCAAGCAACGGATGGTTAAATAAGTTTTGTAATAGAAACAATATTGTTTTCAAAACTTTATGCGGTGAATCAGCTAATGTTGATAAAGATTTGTGTCAAGACAGGAAATCAAGGCTTCCAATCATTCTGGCAGGCTATGAAGATTGTGATGTTTATAACTTAGATGAGACAGGACTTTTTTTCCGTGCCTTACCTACCAAAAGTTTAGTTGAGAAGGCAGAAGAGGCCAAAGGAGGAAAACAAACTAAACAGAGGCTCACTGTGTGTTTTTGTGCTAATGCTGCTGGTGAAAAGTTCTTTTTTTGGATAATATACCATGTCACTCGTGTTACGAAAACTTGAAAAGTGTAAAGCTTCAATTCTTGCCTCCAAATACTACGTCTGAAATTCAATCTCTAGACCAAGGAGTTGTACGCTGCTTTAAATTAGAATACCGACGTTTTGTTTTGCAAAGACTCCTTTCTCTTATATATTGCGATAAAAATTCATCACAAATCATTCAATCTATCACAGTAATAGATGCCATTCGATGGATTAGACACGCCTGGGAAAATGTAAAAGGACAGACAATTGTAAATTGCTTTAAAAAATGCGAGCTAAGCAATACAGCTTTAGAGGCCACTATCGATGCAGCTGATTTAGAAAATGAAGTGGTTGAGCTTTCAAAAGCTGCTGCAATTCAATATGACCCAAATTCAGATAAATATGAAAATGGGCTAGAAAGTTACGATGATTTATCGGAAGATTGGGAGAAAAGATTTTTAGATGATTTAGATACATGTAAAACATTAATATTTATTGTTTTAAGTTTTAAAAAAATACAATACATATTTTTTTTAAACTTATTTGTTCAATTTTTTCAGGAGTTCAGTCTGATTTAGATAATGAGAATGAGTCCCCCGTGCCATATTTATCAAACCAAGAAACGCTATTAGAAGTAAATAAACTGATATCCCAATCCAAGGCATTAATAAATTATGCGAATTTAACTAATTTGTTTTATAGAGTTAAGGAATCATTAGAAACTAAAATTGTTTGCGAAAAAATTGTAAAAAGTAAACAAGCTTCAATTGAAATTTTTTTTAAACATGTATAAAAACTTAAAATGTTAATAAACAGTTTTTTTCTACATAAATTTTGATTTCCTCATTTTATTTTTTGGTCACCCCCATTTAAGGGCCACCCCCATAAGGGCCAATTTTCAATGGAACGACAGGTGGCCCTTACCGAGAGGTTTCACTGTAGTACAAGATTACTCAAATTATTTTTCAGTTTTTAATGCCCAATAACACATACAACAGGGCTTCCATTGGCTACTAAATCTACTATTTTGAAGTTTCAGCAATCAGTTGTGAAAAAAATGGCCAATTTTTGCCAATTGGCTACTAAAAAAATAAATTAGTGATTTTTATTTCCATTGGTACAGTATAGATAAAAATTAGTTTCTTTTTGCTGTATCCATATACATTATCACAAACAAATTTTTTGGCCTATGCTATTACATTGAAATGTCTTATCTTGTAAAGTGAACTACAGCCATGTACTATTACAGAACAATCTTTGGTCCTTTAGGATTTTGTTTTAAACTGTCGCACATTATTATAAAATGTGTAGAATTTAATATAATATAATAAGAAAGTATAGTTGAACTTGCCTAATGTTTCTATTAAGGGAGCAAAATTTTAAGAATTGTTTTTAGAAATAGTAAATTATGTATTTAGTGATAATGGTATTTAAAAATTGACTATTTTAATGATTACTTATGAAATTTTATTCACCTAATAAAATATATTAAATGTATTTTTGTTTTAACGTATTTTTATTCTTGTAATTTCATTTTTCATAATTACAACTAACCGTTAACTCACATAACTGTCATATTTAACTTAGAAAACATTGTAGATCTAATCTATGTCACAATCAAGTTTACAATATTGTTATTTCTCAACTTTTATTCATTCCTAATAATATTTATTAAAAATAGAAATGATTATTTAAATAACATAATCTATTCAGGTAGAGCTCATACACGCTGTGTAATTAAGAATATTCTGTAATAATTCTCTGTAATTAAGAATATTCTATTATAAATATTTCCAAATACTCTGTTACTAATATTTTCCATACCTCCTACTTTCCCTTTCATGCATAACTTAATAAAAATGAAACTATACTATTTGCAAATTTCCATGGATCCTGAATTTGTAATTTATTTTACTCTTGAAATTTTCTCTGATTAATTATCCTTTCTCCTTACTAACAGACTTCAATGAAATCGTTGCTTTATCCCTTTCCATCTAGAATGTGATGTTCAACAATCATAATGAACTTAGATTGTTATAACACTGGGGAATGCTCTATTTCCAGATCATAGTCAATATAGTCATAGTCATGATTTTTAGTTTGATAAGTGGTGAAAATTGTCATTAACTTCTATAGCGATTTACTATTATTTTTTTAGTTGAAGTCTGTACAGTAAATTTCTAGTTAGTCTTCAGAGTTAGTCAAGTAAATATCTCGTTAGTTTTCTTTAGAAAATGCATTTAAAGAATTATATTGCACAAAATGAAATTTTCAAAACTGTAAATTACTCTTTTTTTTTAAATTAAAAAAAAAGCTGTTTGTTTCTTTTTTAAAAAAATAGTCTAGTATGTATTTAAAATGTTCTGATTACAAGCCATTTGAATAAAATGTCCCAATATGTGTCATATAAAAAATGTCCTAACTTTATTGTGAAATATTGTCTTGATTTTTATGTTGAACCACTACAAAGCCTACACATTGCAGTTTATAATTCTTTAAAAAAAAATTCTAATTCAATATTTGATTATTATTTTTACATTAGAAAATTTAACAGAGTTTATAACATATTAATTAGGTGTCTGTGTATTTTTTAAGCACTTAGTTAAGTTTTATTTTATTTAATTATAATTATTACACTCTGAAAACAGTTAATATTTGCAAATTTTTCTTTATGCATATTCCCTCATTTATTTTTTTAGTATTTCTGAAAACATCGACATAATATGATTATGTATGTTCAACAGATTGAGTTTATGGCTTTTGTATTTATAAATTATTATTCTATAAAGTGTAAATGTCTTAAAAAAATATATTATTTGGATTATTTTTATATCATTTTGGATTATTTTTATAAGAATATGTTACAGGAGAGAAACTTATTAATGCAGGTGGCAACTTTTTTGGAGACTATTTTTCATATCTCTAACAACTAAAGCTTCTATTTATGGAGTATTATCCAAGTGGCAACCCTAATAAATTTAATTGGATTTTTTTTCCGCATATTTTAGCTGCATGCAGTAATGCTAATTTCATAACTTCTTGATATTAATGCATTTCATATTTATTCAATGTAGCATTTAACTTTAATAATATTTCTTTGAGCTTCAATTATAACAAGAAGAAAAAAACATTATTTTTTTCTTTCATAACTTTAAAAATTGGAAAAAAATTTGGTATTACCACATATTCTACTTTCAGTGTTTAAAAAGTACTGACAAAACTAAAAGGAATAAAATTTTTAGCATGTTAGTAAGTACTAAATTATTTTATTGATACTTAGGAAATAAATGTAAATGCAAAGTATCAAGTTTTGAAACTGTCATTCAAAAAGGAAAACTGATACTGAAAATTAAATTCAAACTTTGCAACTTATCTATAGTTACTTCTTTTACTTTTTTTTTTTTTTTCTATTTTTTTCTTTAAATTTCTATGTAAACTCTACCTCTACTTCTATTTCGATTTGTACTCGTGTATGTAGAAGCATTTATATCAAAACCCCTAAATTTATTATTCTTTTGAGGTTCTACTGCTTTGAACCGAGTCTCTATGAATGTTGAATAGCAAAAAAATAATTTCAAAGCTTTTTTTAAAAAAATCATCATTTATATTCATTTATTTACTTTTTCCCCTGTTAAATGTTTTTTTCCCCCATAAAATTTTGACTTATTTTAAGTTGACAAAGTTTTCCTCATCTTTGCATTTCAAATTAACCCCACAAAAATTTTGAAACTCTGAATAAATAATAAAATTTTAAATTCAAAATTTCAAAGTATTCCTGTTCAAATCAAAAACAATCCACTGTATTAGAAACTGAACATAATATTTTTTAATGTTTTACTGTTGTTTAAATAGTTTTTCTTTTATGCTATAGGTAGAGAAAGTTACAAGGAGTTTTCAGAATCTTGTAAAAAGTAAAGAAAATAATTGGAATTTTATTCAAGACCAAGATCATAAAGTTGAAAATAAGAAGGTATAGTCAAATTCAATTGATATATATATAACTTCAAATAGCTAATGTTATGTTTTGTTTTTCTTTAATCAATTTTCTTCAATTAAAATAGCAATATTATATTCTCAAAAATAAGTTATGATAATTAATCCATGAAGCTTCCTTAGATTTCTGCTATGCAGTTGTTTGATAGAATGCCTTTTTTCTAGTTACAATTGACTGTATTTTATGAATTGTCTTCCCTAAATTTTAATGCAAACTGTATTCTTCATGCTAAAGTTAATACTGATTACTTACATATTAGGGGGAAATAATTTGTTTTTGAATTTCATAAAAAAAAACTATGAAGTTATCCCTGTAATCACAAAGTTGCTTTTTCTAAGAGATCACTGAAAACCAGCTTTCAATGGTTACATTTTCAAACACTGAAATTTTGTTCTTTTTTAGGCTTTAAGTTTGAATACAATACTTCGTTATTTTTAATATCCCCCTTCTTAAAAATCCTTATTAATCTTTTCAGATGTAATACTAGTAATTTTAATATAAAAATTATGAATGAGAACAAAATTTTACCTGTAATAAAGATTTGTATAATTTTTTTTTCAAGGGGACATTAAGTGGAATAAATTTTATTAAAATACAGTTAAATATGAACAGTTGCATGTTTGTTGTTGCAGTAATTAACTACATTTCTATTGTAGTGACAAAACTTAGCCCTAAAAACCACAAACTATTTCATTCTGTTTGCTATGACAGGTATTTATATTTCTAAATCTAGTGATGTGAGGCAAGAATATTCTCATGAAACTGAAATTTAGAGAATAATTGAGAACATTCTTTATTCTTATTAATTAAATACAAAAAAAAAATCAAACCTATATCTGAAATGCAATTCAATTATTATATTTAAACAGATCACAAGTTAAAATTTAGGTATACTTACTATATTGGTAGTTTTAATTATTGGTATGGATTATTAGTAGTTTTTAATTTCAAGAATTTCCTATAAACTACAATTATAATTTTTTTTTTAAACTAAATTTCTTTTTCTCCCCAAAGCATAAACATTTTAAATTCCTTAAAAGTTTCTAAGATAATCTTAGAAAAAAGTACGAAACAATGGGAAAGAAATATAAACTTTGTTGATCAAAAGCTGATAAAATCCTTTATACGAACATGGTTTTAAAGATTTTCAAATAAGTTTTATATAACTGAAAATTAAATATCTATCCTCTAAAGTTAAAATTTCATTTTCTCTAGTACACTATTTGTAGTCTGAATTAAATCTGTGATTAATATCTAAATCTGATAGCGTAATTCTTAAAAATAAATACAAATTCTTAATTAAGAATAATATTTTAAAAGCATCATTTATGATTAAATTGTGCTTTAGAATTAATTTTTTAAATTAAAATAGTCATTCTGAATTATTTTTAGAAAAAATTTTTATGTTTTAAAAATAATGTTCAAAGAATGCTTGTTTATTTTTTATTGAACAAATGATATATCAAATTTATTATTAAGCTTTTTCCCTATGTATATCTATATATTTTTTATCTTTGGGATGTTCGAAAAACGTTTCTCTTTTAATATAAATTTCTAGAATTTTACATCTCGAACTGAATCACAAGATAGTTAAAATAAGTCTTCAATTAGAATTTACTTGAAAGAATAAGTTATTATTATTTATTTATTTATTTGGTTTTTTTTATTTTTTTGAAATATCAATACAGTCGAACTCGTTTATAACGAGCACAAAGGGCCTGTAACATGTACTCGTTAAATCCGTAATAAACGGGTCCTTAAGGCAGGCTTGCAACCAGAAGAGGGGTGGGGGTTTGGGAGGTCAAATTATTGAGTTTACATAAAATTTAATTAATACTTACTTACTTTAATTAATTTAATTAAGTACCCAACCAGCAAAAAATTTCTAGTTGCGCTACAGTCTTAAAGGAAAAAAGCAATAAAGGAAAAGATTCTTAGCAAAACATTTATTTTTTTCATTAATCTACATATTTAAAATAGTAGTTTGTTAGCTTACTTTGAAGTTTCAGTTCGCGGTTTTTTTTTTATTTCGCGCGCATTTCTTATTTTGAAAAAAAGATTGCAAGACAGAAAAATATTGCTCGCTAAAATCGGGTTTTGCTCGTTAAAAGCGACTTCTGTTCCATAGACTTAACATTGATCCAACCAAATATTCTCGTTTCCCTCGGTAAATCCGAGTTCTCGTTAAATCCGAGCTCGTTATAAATGAGTTCGACTGTATTTCACAAACATGTCACGTTTTCTAGAAATTTATTTATTTATTTATTTTTTTATATCTAAAGGCTTAACGATAATAGGTTTGCAAAAATTTTATATGTTGAAATAGGTACCCATTTAAAAATTATAATGAAGTTAAATATCTTATCAGTTCTACCTGATTTGTTTCAGAATTTTTAGAATTCTTAAATAAAAAAATTTTTGTTACAGTTTAATTAGTAATTTAGGGTGTTTAATTCAGAATCTGTGTTTAGAAGAATTGGTATTTAATTCAGAATTTTTATATCTAGAATTTTTCATCTCTAATTGAATCACAAGATATGTTAAAATTAGTACCTATATAAAAATTATAATAAAGCTAAGTATCTTATCAGTTCTACCCAATTTGTTGTTTTAGAATTCTTAAATAATGTTATAATGAAAGGAATCGGATTATTTAAAATTTCCTTTCATAAAATTTTAGAAAAGTGAGTTGGATCATATATTTTTATAAATTACTTTTGGAAGATAAAATTGAATCGGGTGTGATGAACGTAGTTGTTTTCAAAATTTGAATTAATGTCTTTGTACAGTCTATATAAAATAATTTTGATCCAAACAACGCTTCATTAACCTCAGAATTTTTTAAATGATGAACTGGTGAGTTGCACAGTAACTTATTTTTAAAAAAATTAAGTTCTAATTTTAAAAAAAAAATGTTTTTTTTTTGGTTTGAATTACATTTTATTAAATATGCAGGGATGAGATTTTTCCACTTTTAAACGGATTTCCGCCTTTTTCGCTTTTGTCTCTCAAATTTCAACCTTTTTTATCAAGAACTCCGATTCTCTAAAAGTTTAAGTTTTTTTTAAAATAATTATTTCGCCTTTTCTGAAAATTCAGTCTTTGAAATAAAATAATTATATTTATTTCCGATTTGATATATAGATATAATATATCGAAAGATATATAGAAAATTCAAATTACGTAGCTGCCAACCCTTCCACATATGTACTTATTATAGGGGCAATTCCACGGAAGTGTCAACTTTTAAGTGAAATTTTTTTCTTATGAATCGCATATTTTAATTTTAAAAATATGTTCAAAAATAGCCAAAGTCTGCATATTGTCGTTTCATTTTTGATAATTTTAAATATTTGAATCTGGCAGCATTCTAAAGTAATCACATGGCTGACAATAGAATTGTTCACATTTGTGCTCAAATTGTTTTCTTGGAAAATACTTATAAAATAAAAGAAATGTATCTTTCTTTTGCAATATTTTGATAAAAATATGCATATAGTACAAAATTTAAACATTTAAAACATTATCATTTTAAGTTTAATATATAAAATAAAAGTAACTTCTTTTACGTCATTCCGTCACATGTCTTAATAATGCATAAATTTCCTGAGAACGAAGATAAGATGTGACATTGGCAAGTTAGATATAAAACCTCTTCAGAGACAACCTAATTTTCAAACTGTTGAAATTTTTACTAATTCTTACATAAATATTAATTCTGTTTATCTGTCACATTCTGTTTATCATTTACATATTAATAAAACATTTTTTTAATGAAGACTTTCTTCTACTAAACTTTTTGTCATTCAGTCATGGTCATTCCGTCACAGCAAATAGATGTTAATAACTGCTAGCCAACCTGATTTTAATTTTCCAAATTCACATTTTACATTGCTTACACATTATACTAAAAGTATAAAATAGTTCAGAAAAATAATAGCTGCAAAATTCGCAGAAACTACCGGTTCTAAGCGGCATGCCAAAAGCTTGGTTGCCAAAATGTCATTCCGTCGCGCAAATAAAAAGTTCGTAAAATTAAAAGTAAAAAAGATAGAAAATCCTGTTTTTTTTTTTAGTTTATGAAGCGCATTATGCCAATAATAATGATATGCATGAGAAAAAAATGTTTATTTGAAATTAGATACATAGAAACTTCAATTAATTGTTGTTTTGCAAGTCAAAATGTCATTCCGTCACATATGGAATTGCCCATAGCTTTTACCTTTTACGAGCAGAAAATAAGATTTTCCTCATTTTTACCTGTCCGCTAGATAGCTCGTATTTTCATAATCCAGACGTCTCTGAATTTTAATATCAAGCATCGATTTTCGTATTTACCTGATTTAAAAGTTGAGATTCTTATTCACGCGATTTCAATATCGTCCATTGCAATTTTTATTCACGCGATTTCAGTATCGTCCATTGCAATTCTTACTTACAAGATTTGAAAATTCAATATAGCAATTTGTATTGAGGCGTTTTAAAATTCTATGTAACAATTCGTATTCATGCGAGTTTATCCAACGTCGTGATTCGTTTTTGCGGTTGTAATATATCCAACATCTATTTTCGTATTTACGCGTGATTTATAAATTAGGCTTTGGATTCGTATTCACGCGATTTTAAAATTGTGCATCGTGATTCGTATTTACACGATCTGAAAATTACGCATCGTGATTTGTATTTTCACATTTTTGAAATCCAATATCGAGTTTCATTCACGTGATTTATATTCACGCGATTTTAAAATCCAATATCGCAATTCTTGAATTAGTTACTATAGTCTTGAATTAGTTACTATAAATGTGGAAGTTTTTCTATTGACGCTTATTGCTATACGTAGGCATTACAACATCAACGAAACTGGATGAGAATATTGTTACTGGTATTTTTGCTATAAATCACGATTTACTCACGTGAAAATTCAGCTTTTTTGCCTTTTGGCCAATCTCATCCTTGAATATGATACTTTCTTAAAATAGTAATTGTTGTTACAGTTTAATTAGGAATTTAAGGTGTTAAATTCTTAACATGGAAAACGTGTTTTTAAAGTTTTATGGTTACAGCTCATAGTTGCCTTATTTTTTTTTACTCAATAGTGCTGTGGCATGTTATAAAATCCAAATCTAATAATTTTAACCCATATCAATTATCTTAGAGGTGATTTATATAAAATATGAGATTTCAGTACTTCTTGCATTCTTGTTTCAGTGTTTTTCTTGAAAGTAAAAAAATTAATTTAATAAAGTGGCATTTTCATAATTTAATATATATTTCCACTTTTGTAAGAATTAAAATTTGACGAAAATATAATTACTACCTTATAAAAATAAAATTATTGATAATACCATACACTAGGGTTGGCAAGTTTTTGACACATGACGGTTATTACCATGGTTTTTACCGTCATGTCAAAAACCCATAGTTTTGGTAAAACTGTATTTTTATTTGAGTTTAACTGCTTATAATTTAAAATTAATTAATTTTTGGGCAATAAAATTTGAAAAAAAAGTTGTTAAAAGATATTTAAGAACAGATTCTTGCATTTTCTCAACATGTTTATATCAAAACATACTATTTGAAGTAAAATATTAGGATACTAAACAAAATTTTCAACATTTCCAAGCAGCACTTAGTTTGACATATTACATTACTGAAGAATGTCATGATTGATTACTTTCATTCATAAAATCTTGCTTTGAGAAACACATGTACACATAAAAAGAAAACTTTTCTTATCATTTTTGTTTTCAATATTTTACACAGAAATGAGACATGAAAAAACCTGGGAAATCCTTTTAGAGTTTCCTTGCAACATTGCAATAACCTGTTTTGTTTTGCTTCCATTGACAGAATCTTCTTGAATTTTGGACTCATCCATACTAAACTCAGAAATCGACTGGGCAATGAAAAATGCGCAAAATTAGTCACTTGCTATCATATGCTTCGGTACCGTGACCCCGACTACTGAACATGTAATTTTGTTTTTAATTAAGTTTTGCTTAATATGCTTTTTCAACTGAATAAAAGCTTTTAACTTGACAAAATAGCAGTAATTCTTGACTTAGAGTTTGTTAGTACTTACAAGTTTTGAAAGTTTATTTTAGCTTATTTCTAATATTTAAGAAATGCCAAATTTTAAATTATTCTTTTTAGTTCTTGAATTTATTAATAGTTCCAAGCTTTTTTGTTTGTTTGTTTATTTCTAACAATTAAGAAGTGCAAAATTTTGAATCATTTGCAAAGCAAGCTATAATGATAAAAGTAAGTATCACTATTTTCAATAAGTATATTACAATATTACTGTATGAATGTATATCCTTCTATAAGAATACATGTATATAGTTGCAAAATCAATAGCAATCATTAACAACATTCATTTATAAAGGCAATTATGTGAAAATAATATATTGTCCGCTATATGCCATAAATTTAAGAAAACAGTAGGTTTTTGAGAGTTTTTACCGGTAAAAACACGATTCTTACCACTGACATGTCAAAAACCAGTTTTTGACGGCAAAAACCCAACCCTGCCATACACCTATGCTCACTGATAGGCAGCAATAAAAGAACCTCTTTTTTAAATCAAGCATTGCATTGAAATCCCTTTTTCTTTTATTGTTTGCAATTTGCTTATTTTTTTTCTAATATATTCAATTTAATATTTTATTTTCTAGAAAACTTTGCCGGCAATTTCAAAAACTATAATATCAACCAAGAATCATGCTTCTGCTGCACGCCAAAGACTGGCAGAGGCGAAACAGAGAATGAAGGAACAAATGGCCTCGAAAAAAAATAAGAATTTGGATGATTTGAATACAGAGGCTGAAAGTAAACAGCCAATGTCCAATGTCACTAATATTCAAAATTCTCTGCATGCTAAAGAACAAGAACAAGCAAAATCAAGTCCCACAAAGAAAGTTAGGTCTCATAATAAAGTTACTGAAATAGAAGGAAAAGAAAATCCCTCATCTATTCTTTTGCCAGGTTAGTAATTGTTTATCAGGTTAACCAGAACTTGTTCTTAATCATCACTCGTTAGACCAGATAGTAGAGTAAAAGTTGGATAAATTTTGCAGGAATTAGGCCTCAAAGTCCAATAACTTAACTTTCTAGTACTCATGCCTTAGAGCAAATTTGCAAAAAGTTTTTTCTCCCACTAGGATGTTCACCCTCTTCTTGCTTTGTTAACCCCATACTTGCTATACAAAAAAAATTAACCATGAATGTTAACATTAAAATTGTTTATTGTATTATTGCAGATAAATTTTCTGATTCTATTTTAATTTAAAACTATTAACTAAATTTAAAACTATTCTTTTTTCTCAGTTACTATTTCTTATTGTTACTTATGCCATTTTATTTTATAACCGTCATTGAACAGCCGATCCAATTTTATGGGTTTTACGACTACTAGTGTTCAACTTCGTAGCCTTGTAATTTTGAACTCAATCCAGAAGACAAGGGAACTCCTGCTTTTTGATGGAGCTAACCCTCATTTGCGTTACATGGAGAGGAAGACCACGAGAACATCCCACGGCAAGGGGATTATAACCCATGATCCGTCTACCACTGAGAATATTTCACGTCAGCACTGCAGTGCAAGCCAGATGCAGAATTCGTATTGACTGGGATCAATACCAACAAACCTGCTCAAGTGAATTTTTAAGGCAGAAAGTGCGTTTCATGTTTTTTCATTAGTGCCATCTATGGCCAAGAATATGACTTCAGCCACACACACATCACAATCCATTTAAATCCCCAAATTATAATTTTGACCTGAACCAGATAACGGTCAATCTTCAATTCAGCCATTGGGTCATCCTGAGGAATGTCGCCAATAACCAATTGTGCAAGTGTAAATGTTGGATACAGTTGCAAAGAAAGAAAAGAAGTTATTTCACAACCCAACATTATTTCGGATTATGATAAGCATATGGGAGGTGTAGACCTACATTACAATGCCATAGCTAATTACCGCATCAAGATTCAAGGTAGGAAATGGTGCTGGCCATTATTTACAAACATCATTAATAGCGTTAAAAGAAATTCATGGAAGCTAAATAGAATTTCATTTAGCTCAAAATTCGCACTTATAGGTTTTAGATCTTATATTGCCCTATTAAAATCTGAATCCAAGAACAATCCATCTGGTGAAAGTACATTACAAGTTACCCATACTAACAAAGGTCGCCCATCATCAGCAGTTCTACCAAAATAAGTACAGCTGATAGAATCGGGCATACAATTAGTGAGCATTTTTTTAAAAAAAAGCCCACAGACGATGTAAAGTGTGCAAAAACCACATGGTTTATTTATGCATCAAAGTCCATTTGTATACAAAATGTTTTCATTAAAAATATAGGCGTTGAACTAAACGAATTGTTCATTGATCTGGCCAATGGTGCGTATATGCACCATTTCATTTCTTAAATAAAATATTACTTTTCATGCACAAAATTTATTTTTTGTTTTAATGAATGTAATTTAAACATATTTCAATGAAAATAATACCACATTTGATAAAATATCTATTCTTGGCCTGAAACAGGTTAAATAGTGGTATTCGCTTATTACTATTTGTTTTTTTATCCTCCAAACTTGTATTGTACTTGTAGCAGTCAATTTAATTATTAAAAATTATTAATTAATAATGTTTGCGTTCAATGAGTGTTATGGTCTAAGACAGTGTTTCCCAAAGTGTGGTACGCGTACCCCCAGGGGTACGGGAAAAGTTTAGCGGGGGTACGCTTTCTTATACGAGTCAACAAACAAAAATTTCACAAAATTTTATTTAAAAACAAAGCTAGCCATAAAATTTATGATTACCTATTTTTATATTGGCTATTTTTTGCAAAGTTAACAGTTAATATTAGTGGTGTCAACAACCAGTCGTGATTTCTAAATTTTGTGCAATTTTTTTTTGTAGTAAAAAGCACATTCATTTTTTGATTAGGGGTACACAGCGTTGTGAAAATTTTAGAAAGGGTACACAAAAGTAATAAGTTTGGGAAACGCTGGTCTAAGATAATAAAAGATTTAATCTTTTTTTATTTTTTATTCTTAAATATGCAGATGTTGAATAATTTTTAGTAAGTTAAAGGATTAATTCTTATCAAGTTTAATAAAAAATATTTTAAGTTTGATGGCCACAAAATAATGCAAGTTTTTCAGAACTTGGAATATTAAAATATCAAGGAACTATCATATATTTTTTTATAGAGGAAGGTCATTCTGAAAAAAAAAGTTTATTGAATTTTTTAAATAAAATAAAATAAAGTTGAGAAAAAAAATATTTCATTAAGCAAACTGTAACTTTAAGATAGGTGTTTAATTTAGTAAATTATAACGTCTTAGTTGATTTTTCTTCTTGCTCTATTTCTCTTTTTACCGCGTTTATATCAACTTGCCTTTGTGTGTCTGTTCGGGTGGAATTTTGTAATCGATTTTAAACTAACTTCCCGACTAGCTACAGACTTCAAATTTGGCACAACTTTCCTTCTCTGCAAATTTTCAGATTTCTCCTATTTTAATATGTACTTGATTATTTAAAGTAAGTTTTTTTTAAAAAAATTAGTTTAAAACTTAACTCATTTTGTAACAACCTTTTTTTAAATGTAATGTGTTCAATACCATTTTAGTGTAACTAAAACAATATTAATAAAGCCTTTTGTTTTAGAAGGGGAAGCTTCATCTACACCCTCTAGTCGTAAAAGAAGAGAAGCAAATAAGGATTCTATACCGCTTCAGTGTCTTACAAGATCAGCCAAGAAAGCAATGATGGCCCAACAGAATGCATTGCAGGAATGATATCTCTATTTTTTCTGTTATTACTTCAGTGTCTTACAAGGTCAGAGAAGAAAGCAATGGTAGCCAAAATGCATTTAAGAACTTATATTTCTCCTTTTTTTTATATTTAAATTCAGTGTCTTACAAGATCAGCTAAGAAAGCACTGATGGCCAAACAAAATGATTTAAAAAATGTTTCTCTTTTTTTGCCACTTCAGATCAAGATCAGCTAAGAAAGCAATGATTGCCAAACAAAAATCATTGTGTGACTGATATTTCTTCCTTTAGTGTGAAATTATATACGATGTGAATTATTATACCTTTTCTATGTTTTAGAAGCCCAATGAAGGCCCCAAAAAATATATATATAAAATTTTAAATTATGTATCAGAAATTTTGTGGAAAGAATATTCTATTTTTTAGAGTTTTTTAAAATCGGCATCTAAGCCAAACATGCTCGTTACATATTTTATATTACAAAAAACTTATACTGTAATACTACTTAAAAAATATCTATATTTTTTTTTTATTCTTGTCCTGATGAACTATTTTTTAATTGTCTTTTTATATTTTATTGAATAAAAAAATTTAAAAATAACCTGAAGTCCATCTTGTTTTTAATCATCTTGTTTTGTTTTATCTTGTTTAATTTTTTTTTTCATTCTTAATGTTTGTTGTTATTACTTATATGCAGGTTAGCAAAGTATTATGTCTAATCATGTAAACGAGGTTTTGAGGAAAATTCAGGCAGCCATAGGAAGAAATTTTAAAAATTTGTCGCTTCACAAAGTTTTTCTTGTTAAAAAACATTCTATGTCAATTCGAGTATTGATTAGCTTGAATTCCTTAAGGGGGGACCCCACCCTGAGATGGTAAAATATTAATGTTTATCTTGAATTTTTTTTTTTTAAGTAATAGAGACAATGCAGAGACTCCTTGTTTTTTTATGTTATTTAGCTACAATTTAAGTCTATTTTAAAAAAATTTATTTTGCATAATAATAAAAAATAAGTTGGTGGCTGGTCATCAAAAAGTAGTACCTCACTGGCCTCATGGATTTAGAAGTCCTGATGCATAGGAAAACGATTTTGCTTAGATTTTCTGAAACATAAAGACATTATCTAAAAGGTAGCATAGCGGTTTTTTGATATTCGCAAAATTACCAAAAAGGCGACAACTTAAAAAAGAAGTTAAGTTTTTCATTAAAAAAATATTCATTAAAATACTAATATAAAATTGAAATATCAAAATTATCCTATTCTACTTTCTAAAGAATATATTTTTACGTAATTCAAAATAAAGAACAGCTTATTTCGTTGCATAGATCATGAGAAAAGCGTGTTTAGAGTTTTGACTTATGGAAGGAGAAAATGTTTAATTTCATATATATAATGTGGTCGATAAATGAAATGCCTACAATAAGCTTCTATATACAGTTAACAGAATGGATGAGACACAGAAAGAATGTCACCCCTCCTAATCCGGCCGAGCGGGCCTTTCTACCTGCTTAGCGACAACTCTCTATTTTCCTGTATGACTTCCAAGCGAAGTTAGGTACCGAGAAATCGTTTTAGACAGACATTAGGAAGGGTACAAAGATTCGAAAAATGCAATAAAATTTTTTCGAATTTTTGAAATATTCAGGGTGGGTCCTCCCTTAAATAATATTAAATACTACTATTCAATATATTTTGATTTCTAATAATTTTTAACATATGCTCGTTTATTCAAGAATTGTGTAAAGTCAAACGATTTTCTTTTGTAAACTTTACTTTCCAAAAATATTTTTAAAAAGTTATTGTACTAGAGGAAAAAATTTTTGTTCTGAGGAATAGGGACTGTGAATTTTCTGCACTCCTGTTTATATGTACATGAATATTTCCAATAAATCAGGACTATAATATATTCCCTGGTAAGTAAACTAATTATACTTTATGAAAAATATAAATATTTGTTTAAATGAGTTAATAATTTTTTAAATCAATCAGCGCAAAGGTTTAATTCAATTACTATCGATATTAGAATAAATTTCCTTATTATACGTTATTTTATTATGTTTTAATAGTTTTTTACTTATTTATTCTAAAAAATATTACAATTTTTAATTAAATTAATGCTGAATTTTTTCCTATTTACATTCAGAAAAAAATTCTCCACAAGTTAATTAACAAGAATTAATTACTATGATTAATCTTTGAGTTTTTGATTTAAGAAAAGAGAACTACATAAATTACGCTTGATACTTTCTTTCTCTTAAATGTTACGGAAACAAATTGTCCAATTCCTAAAGCAATGTCTTTTTTTTTTTTTTAACTGAAAAAATTTTTGAGACTGAAAACAATATCTTATGTAGTTTTTTAAGGAAACTTTTGTATTTAAAATGTTTTTTTTCCATATTTCAATTGTTAAAGTTGATAACAATTTTTTGTATTAGAATTAAAATTATCATTATTTATATAAATTATTTTTGGTGTATAAAGGTTATATGGTTTATTCACATGAAAAAGAATAAATGTGTAACGAATTTGGTGTTTCAGCTCAGCTGTTCTACGTAATGCAATTATCATATGAGATGAGAATGAAATAGCAAATTTAAAAAACAAAAGAGAAAAATACGTCTTTCGTAGCTGATTTAAAGCATTCTAAATAGTTATTTATCTGCTTTTTAAATTAACTGTTTTTCATTCATTTTAATTTATTTAATGAATTATTTAACTATATAAAACTGCAGCAAATTGCGCTTTTGTGCAATTAACCCAAAATAATTTAAATTAACTGTATTTCCATAAAATAAGGTAATAAAATACTGCTCTTAAAAAGCCGATACTAAAAAGTCTCTCATAAAGCTGGAAAGAATAATCGGAAAAAAAATTATTTTACTTTAAGGAACTTCATTTTTTTATTAAATGAAAAACTGTGATTAATTAATAATGAAACAGGAATTTTTTTAATAAAAATAAAGGCTGTGTTTCATTTGTGAATGAAAACAAAGTTATTTGAAAGCATAAAGAATTTGAAGTTTCGATTTACAATTATAAAAATTTAAGTCTAGTTAATTTCATAAATATAAACATTATGTATATATATTTATATACTATCTATATTAAATAATATAAATATTGTATTATACATTATATGTATCAAATATATCATCATCAACCCAGGGTGGGCCTTGGCTTTCTCAAGAAGTTTTTTTCCAGGTTAACTTTTTTTTTAGCTAGTATTTTCCAATTTTTAGTTTTTAAGACCAAAAGGTCTTTCTCTAGGCCATCTATCCATCTCAAATTCAGCCTGCCTCTTTATCGTGTGCCAACTGGTCTGGCATTGAAATCTCTTTTTGTGGTATGGTCTCCGTCCATTCTGATAACGTGGCCTGCCCATTTTATTCTTTGTCGTTTAATAAAGTTAATGTCAGGTTCATTATATGAATGATAAAGCTCTAGATTAGATCTTCTAAGCCACACACCATTTTTTTTGAATTCCTCCAAAAATACTTCTCAAGACTTTCTCTCAAAGGTACCCAGCATAGCCTCATCCATACAAGATATGGTCCAGGTTTCACAAGTATATGTTAAAATTGATCTTACAGGAGATTTATATAATAAAACTTTTGTATTTCTATGAATTACATTAGATTTTATGTATTTTCGAATTCCATTGAAGCAGTTATTAGCTATAGTAATTCTTTGTATTTCCATTGTGGTATTGTTCCTGTTGTTGACTACAGAACCCAAGTAAACGAAATTGTCAACAACCTCAAATTTATATTCTTCAATTTCTAAATGGGTGTTACTGAAGTTTGTTTTCGTACAGAGCAAGTATTTAGTTTTGTTCTCAGTCCCATCTTTCTCTAATGAAATAAAAGCCTGTCTTAGCGCTATAGGTGTGTATTAAATATATATATTTCATAAATAAGAGCAAAATCCATAAGTTAGAAATAAATCCATGCACAATAAGTAAACGGTAAAATAGTGAACTAATGTACCACATAAATGAATTTGGTTTACGGACATATTAAAAAAAAAAGACAATTATTAAACGAACATCTATCTAAAACAATTCTATCAGTGCATAAATAGACAACTATAAGTGATTTAATGCGAGCATAAGGTGGTAATCCTTAGAAATCAATTAATTTTACTTTTTCTAGTTATCCAAAGAGAAATTTCATTAAGAATGGGAATTTTTAATGTCATGATTTATGTTCAAAAGAAAAAAACTTGCAAATACATTCATGTTCACAAATTAAGGAGCTAGCTCCAGCAAATAAAGTTTCGAAAACAAAGCAAACGTGACTTTCATAAAGCCTATTTATTAAACAAAAAAACAGATGGAGTATTTATGATACCATTTATAAAAACTACAACTTTTGCTCTCTGGAGCAGTTATAAAGAATATCTTCACAAAAACTTAACATATTGCATAGTTGATTAATGCATTGTATGTCTCCCATGCGATGAAATACAGTCCGTACAACGCCTTAGGCATGCTGAGTATCAAATTATTGAGGTGTTGGATGAGATTACGCCAATCAGCAAGCAGTGTTCTTCAAATTCCGGTACACAAATAAGTTGTTGCTGAGCTGCAACTTGTCGACCAAGCATGTCTCGCGCATGCTTGATCAGATTCAAGTTAGGGAAGAATACTAGCATTATATCCTCAGATTAAAGGTATTCGCTTACGATGTTTGCTCGGTGAGGACGGGTGTTGTCTTCCATGAACGAAAATTTCCGTGAGCGGAGCACATCTTATAGGCCTATAAACATATAGGCCAGTATTTCTCAAACGACTTCACACGGTTTGCTTTGAAACTGTGGAACCCGTGGCTGCAGATAACTGACGAGACAGATCGGACGCTGTGTTCTGTCTGCTTCTTTTGGAAGTTACTGCCAATAACAGCCTTCATTTGCACTATAACTCAGGGTTGATCTGTAGTGTTACGTCTACTGACATTTCTATCGCCTTTCACGCTTTCATTAAAGGTCTGGTTTCTTAGGACAAGCGCCTTATCTGGGCGTCAGCGAAAAGCTGACGTAGAGCTGACGCCAAAAAAAATACTTTTTTGTTAGCTCAGCGTGAGCAGTCGGTCCAACGCAGACATTATCTCTCATTGCGCATGCGTTAATAACGTAAACAAATATTTATTTTGAATTTGTATAGATTTTGTTATTGTCGACCAGTGTTTTAGAGAACAAATAATGACTTTGTTCAAGAAAAAACACATTATAGCTGAGCTAAATGAAGAGTGCTATGTTTAATGAATAAGCTATGTTTAATGTCGAAATCAAAATCTTGGCTGATTTCAATGTGCTGTTGTTTGTTGTCCGCCATTGCTTCTGTGGTTAACGTCACGTTGTAATCCAACTGCAGTTGAGTTGGACGGCAATTGTAGTTCAAGATGAGCGTTCGATGACGTATACTATCAAGCTCACAAATGAACCAATCAGAGGTTAGCGCTGATTTCCAGTTGACGGCGTCCTGTCCAAAGAAACCAGGCCTTAAACTGCAAGGCAGAAAACAATTGGCAGGATCAATATAA